ATACATTAGGATTTTATGATAATTTTTTATTTCTTTATTTTTTGTTTAGTAATTAATTTTTTTTCAGGCCACAAGGACTACTCCCAGCCGCCAGTAGCCCATAGTAACCGTGACCAGCGTGTGGTGGTTGGGAGTGTGAAGGGATGGGGAAGCAGCAGTAGTGGTGGTGGTGGAAGCAGCAACAGTGTAGTTGTTGCTGGTCAGGGCAGCACAGGCAGTAGCAGTAGTTTAAATTATGCTCCCACGATAGGACGAACTCATGTGTCTGCAAGTCACCATTCACCATCATCACAGGCACATGGATTATCACCAGTCTCTCAGCTTGGGTCTCTGGCAGGCATTGTGCCAGCACAGGCAGATGTCTATCGGGAATATAGACGTGCTGGCCCCCCTCAGGCTGCTGCTGCAGCTGCTGCTGCAGCACAGGTGTATGTGACCACCACTCAACCCACATACTTACCCTCCTCCCTTCCAGCTGCACACACAGTCAACCCATTTACACCAGGGTTAGTATTCAGGGTAACCATGAGTCTTCTGTTATTAAGTGAATTGATATACATTACTTATATTTCATATGTAACTTGCGTATATTTAAGGTTAAATGCAGCACAGCTTATGTCAAGGACTTAAAATATGAAATATTGATTTATATTTTGATCTTTTACAGAGGAGCATTGCCCCCACCAGCCCACCACAGCAGTGGGCGCACAGTGCTGGCTGCCCCACCTGCACATCCTTTACCTGCCCACATGCAACCAACTGCAGTGTTCCCTACGCACCCCCAAGTAGCTGCACCCTACACTGCCTACACTGCTCTCTCTCCAGCCAAGAGCCAGTATCAAAGCATCTGGTTTTCTGAGTAGCAACAGTATCAATTGGAACAAACCCACTACAATTTGTGAGAATAAAATAGGCCCAGAAGATCCAAAATGAGCCAAGAAAATGACATACAGGAAAAAAAGAAATAAATAAAAGAAAAGAGGAAAAGAGAATTTATGTTGCCCAGCACATGAGATTTGGGCAGTGGGAGTGGGTATATTGGAGTTCCTGGAGAGTAACTGAGTGTAGTAGTGCAGGGTTGTGATGAGGTAGGGATGGATCTATGGGGCAAATTTGCCCCATTCCTTCCTTCTCACCCTCAAGAGGAAGCTACTGCACTATGAAGATCAACCACATCTTCAGCAAAGGATATACCAGGGTGGCTAGACTTAGACTAGTTTAGATAAAAGCAAAAGAGAAACTCTGGAATACCTTTGTTGAAACAAGACCATTATTTTGGTGCCAAGTGTATGGGGTTCACAGCCAAAAAATAGTGTCTACAAATTTTAAGTAAGCTTCAGAAGTGTGCAAGGACTTAGTGTCAGATATATTCATGGGTACTGAGCTCTACCATATAATTACTCCCCTGTGATTACTGATTTGGGGGCCAATAGAATTTGTTTGAGCATTTCTCTTGATACAATAGCATCAGCAGCAGTATAGGCCCCATATCTGTGTGTAGAACTAGTGCATGTACAAGTGTGCGCCTGTCTCATGATGACCATAACCTTGACAAGCATTATAACTGTGCGTTGGCCGTCCTAAGGGCGGAAATACTGTCGGCATATTGTTGACAAATGAGAAGACTGTAGCTAGTTTTTATTTTTATCATTTTGTGTGAAACATGAGCAACAGCCAGTGGGTGAACACTACACTGGTAATGAAGAATGGATATGGAGTGTTTGTGTTAGCTTCTTTGGAGCACATCCTGTATTGCATAAAAGGAAATAATTTATCAGCTACATTTTTAAACTTTTCAGTCACCCAAAGAAGTTATAGTTCGTTTTGTGTTGGACTTGATATCGTTATCAAGTGTGAGTTTTTTGTTGAAGCTAAAGTGATGAGCCATCTGTGGAGCTCGGCTAATAATCCTATTGGCTACTAAGTGACTGGGAACTGGTTCACAGAATGCCGAGGTTTTTCAGTGAGCCATGCTTGACGTTGTGTATATTTATTTTGTGTTTTACCAAGCATAAATTGAATATGTTTGATAATTTTTTAAGGGGAAAGGGTTTTGACAATGGTCTGTACGTAGACTTAATGTGTAGCATGAGTAGTATTGTGTTTATAGCCGATGAGGCCGAGGGAAAATGCGCCATAGTTGGCATTTCAACAGCACTCCCCTTCCCTTCCATAAAGTGTGGGAAGTTGAGAGCCAAGTAGAATTGCTGGATGTGGTGTGATGCCCACCGGCTGCACCACGTTTGGTGTTTGTCCACAGGTTTGTTTGATCTCTATTAACATATACGCTTTCTTGAACTTCTTCCCTATGTGTAAAGGTGTTATTTATGTCTGGAGTGTGATACCTTCTCTTTATATCTCGGAGAATCCTCTGCATGGTTTTTGTGCTTGTTTCTTGACCAAGGTCTATACACCCGGGAGAAGCAAATAGCACGTTCAGGCTTACTGCCATTCCCCCAACCCCCCTCCCACACTCCACCTCTTTTGAGGTTCACTATTCACTGCTAACTGTTATTGGGAATTTTATTTTTAATGTTTCTTTGGAGAACTTTTAATGTTTCTTTAATTGATTACCTTTGATCTTAAGCATAGTATAATATTTAATTTTTTAAGGTTAACATTTACTTCTAAGATCAAGCTTTGATGTGTATGTGAAAGCTTATATTTTTAGTATCTGAATTGGGTGAATTTGTCATAAAGAACTAATATATAAGGGACAGTGTTGTGTAGCAGGTGATGACTGTGAATTTTAAAGTGGGAGGGGGGCCGTGCCTGCGTTTTCATTAGGCCCTAACATGTATAGGGTCGTGGTTCTGTTCAGTTTCTGATCCCAATGTTGTGATTAGATACAGTTCATCACAGACCTCGACCCAGACCTTTGTGTGTGGGGCAACAATTCCCAAGGTCTTCTTGAAGGTGCCAAGCTTTGGTGTGTGTATAGGGTCTTTGACATGTCTCAATGGACCAACTCTTCGTCAAGCTGGACTGCAGAGTTTTGAAAGTAATTGATATCCGTCTCAAGCTCTGTCTAGTACATATATGGATTTGAGTTTTTTAATTGTATTCATTTTTACTTATTGAATTTTTATTGATAAAAGATATGTATTGACAGGCATCTTTAATGTGACCAGATTATTGACAAGCATCTTTAATGTGACCAGAAGATTTAGAAATTGTTGATAAAGTAGCTGAATCATATTTGTTGCAGTTTGATTGAAGTGATTGAACAGCATGACGAATAGCCTTGTCCTTTTTCAGATGTAAATTTTCTTGAAATTCAACCAAAGTTTATCCAGACGCAGAGTGAGTTTCCCCTTATGTAAAAGTAGTCATATGAAGCCATTGGCTGTTGTGCAGTCAGCTTCCAGGTTGTCTAGAGACCCCTTCATGCACCATGTGGACCACTCACCATTATCAGGAGTTGGCCTGTCAGGAGGGAAGATGTGACTGTTGGGATATTGTACACAACTCATCAATTTGGTCCAGTTTAGGTTATTAGTAGTTCCGGTGCTCAGTTATCGGCACCTACATAACAGCCCTACACATGTGATGTTTGTATTTAGAGTGCCTAAGCTCTAGTATTTTAGAAGATGTGACGGATGGCCAATATTGATTGCTGGGTAATGGCTCTGCACAGTAGCTTTTTTGACCTTTGTATCTACTTATCCTGGAATACAAAAACAAAAAAAAAAAGTGTCATAAATTGATTCATGGCCATGCATCAGTCTCTGTCCATATAGTAAAAAATATTTTTGATTTGCTGCACGGAGTCACTTTCCACCAGTCAGGTGATCGTCTGGCCGCAGTATAACGAGTAACGTGAAACTGTTGCCCAACGTTAGTCATAACCCTCACAAAACACTATAAGAGTTGATTGCAGTACACTGTTGTAGTACACTGATGTAGTACATTGCTGTAGTACACGGATGTAGTACACAAAAACAAGATTATATGTGTACGTATCTATTTTTCTTGAGAATGTAAATATAATTATGAATGTAATATTTTGGGTCAGTTAGGGTATGTAAAGACTTTGTAAGATATTGTAATGTGTGTTTCATGATTATAGATAACACAAGTATCCTAAATGCTAAATGTTTCTCAACATTCTTCGTTAGTATTCAGTAGGCATACAATTAACATGTTTCATTGTCATGCTTCAAGACCATTAAAATTTCCTCCCCCTCTCCATACTAGATTTCCTGAATTGTGGTAGTTAGGAACCATTAACTTTTTACGACTTAAGAATTTCACTTTTTCCAGTGACTTTGCTAGATGTTAAGGGTCTGGAGGCGTTGCCACAGAGTGCTTTAGACCACGTCAAGAAGCAACAGTTGCAAATGATACCCATGCAAAATTGGTAAAGGGATACAGAGCCAGAATAAATTCTTTACAAACTTTTTGTAGCATTACTGGGTCTTAAAAACAATGTTCTCTTAGTGCTGCTTTGGCAACGTAGACCAGTCTCTTGGTCTCTCACTCCTAAAGGTGACCTGTGACCATTTTCAATTTTCCACGTGCTCTGCGCTATATGATTAAATGCCTATTGTCCATCTTGCAAAATGTAGTTCAACTGAAACACTGGATTGTGTTTTTTATAGATAAGGTCCTCTGGGTGTAGAGTGGTATAAATATTTTACTCGCAGTCTGCAGCAAAGTTCAACCTCCGTGGTTGTTGACTCCCTAACCTCATATGTTTTGTATTGACTATACTTATGGCACTCAGTCTTGCACTATCTAGAGGAAATTTTTCTAACACTAAGCAATCATGTAGAAAACTCTTGTGAGGTGGGTCGTCAACATTTCCAAATATATGGTGGAAGATGTGCTGTAGAGTGTAGCAAGGTATTAGTTCCTTAGTTTGCTAGGATGTCCTACCATTTACAGTATCCTAGGATAGTTTTGAAGGATTCTTTGATTGACAGTTTAGTTTTAATCCTGAGTTTTAAATACCATTTTTTATGGTTTTTGAGGGGCTATCACTACTATAGGTTTGGTATATTTGATTTATGTTTAGATTTCCCAAGTTTTGATTCTAATGGGCTTGTACAATTACAGGATATTCAGTAATGACACATTTAAGATCAAGGTCATTATTATTGTTACAACAAAAAAATTATACTTCAATTAAAAAAAAAAATTATATAAAAATTATGATGATATTCCCTACTAACCCCAACCCCACTATTTTAGTATATGATTATAAACCTTAGGAACAGTGCTTTTTGATACGCCCCTTGCTCGTGGTATCGAGTCTGAGTTTTGGGTGTGTTGGTTGGTTTATTAATATTTTGCCACCAATTTGTTGCACTTTTATAGCTCAATTAATATGACTTTTGCTTTAGGTTGCATTGAATAATCTTTTTAATATAGGTTAGCTGCCTATCTACCTACCCCCTCCCCCTCCCACCCACCCACCCACCCCCCCTGTTACAATGTATTAATGCGGTGTAATGTTGAAATGTTTATATATATATATACATATATATATATATGTTTTAAATGTTTATTTCACGGTTTGATTTGGTTGAAATCAGGAATGAAGACCTTGAAAAAAAAGCTTCTTTTTAAAAACCTCATAAAGGGTCTCTTAAAGTTCTAATGCCTACTTGATATTCACCGTCATATTATGAATTGAATCAGCCCCTCCCCATTTCTTATTAATGCCAGGTTGAAATGCTTTTGGAGAGCTTTGGCCGGTCATTCTGTGGACAAGTATCTTCTAATTTGCCATCCCAGGGTACCTGAATGATGATAACTTCAAACATTTATGTGTTTCAAGAAAAGCATTTCTTTTAAAGAATTGATGAAATTAGTTGGATGTTTGCATTTAGGGATAATGACTTGTATGAAAAGTGTGTCAAAATTGTGTCTGCTTTTATCATGATTTATCATAAGTAACCATTATAATTATCAGCTTATTTATTGTATTATCATCATAAAAAATGTGAATAATTGCAACTCATAATGTCATTGCCATTGTGCATATGTTGATATGGTAACATGAAGTTAATATGATTTTTTTTCATTTTCTTTCTTCAACAGTTGACATATGAAATGTAACACAACACTGGCCTTAACCATAAATTCATGCAAAAAGGTATTGAACAGTCCCAACTGGTGTTTTATTAAGAAGACTTGCTTTCTCTCTTCTGGTGGCTACAAAACTTTTAAATCTTGATCATTTATGGTGTGAGAGGGATTGATTCACTGTCAGAAAGCCACCAGGAGTCCAAGGATGAAGGTCATTTTCATAGTTTTCTTGCCTGTTTACAAAATTGTTATTTGTTTATTGCAAAAATAAAGAAGGTACATGTTCCCTTACAAACTGTATAGGAATAAAAAACCAAAGATTGAATTTTTTATTTTTATTATTATTATTATTATTATTATTATTATTTTGTCTTTTCATCTCTTCAAATTCATATCTTTTATCTTTTGGTAGAAATACTGGGTTTTCACTCTAGAATTGTAGTACATATCACTTATAAGCAAGTAGTTATGATAGGAATGTCTAGTTTCTGAACACCTGGTTGACGATACAAATACTGTAGGCTCTAATATCCTTGCCATAGCATACAGAATGACCTTTTTTAGGGTGTTCAGAACTTGCATATCCTTTCATAACAGATATTGGGACTAGGGATATATATGGATTACCTCATCAGATGTCTTGTTTGTATATTGAGGAAAAATTATTCTGTATTACTTTGAATTTTTGAATCTCTATGAAATTTTGATTGTAATACATCTGCATTTTGTTGCGCTATGTTCATGTTTATTTGACTTATCTACTGTCATTGCCGTGAAAATATTAAATTTGGATTAATTTTGATACAATGACAGTACAAGGAAAAATTGGTGGTGTAACCTTGTGTTGTGGAGTCCAGATGAGTTGAGATCCTTTGTTTTGTACCAGCATCTGATGGAAGAACCTGTTTGTGCATGGCCATATTCTGCTCTTTGGAACCAGACCAACAGTAGCTTCTAGTCTCACAGATCAGATTATGTGCAATTATTTTATTTTTAACAACCCTCCAAGAACAAAGTGTATACAAAACAAAGAAATCCAGAATTTGAGTCAGAAGGTTGGGTCACGGCACAAATACAGGTCCTTCCGTAATTTCATGTAGAGGTGCCCTAGTATAGGGATATCTCTGTGTATGTCACACAGACCAGCAACAGCAGCCGTATGTGCGTGTTTGTGTGTGTCTTTGGGTGTGGGTGTGCGTGTGAATTTCAAGAAATATGAGAGGAGCCATGTCTACTATGGCCAAAAATGTAATTCCTCTCTTGTAGTGTCATTTCATGCAGCTACAAAACATATCTTTCCCTTTGACATGTTGGTTCTTCCTCTACCCCTGCAGTTGGTATTTTGCTTGATTTCTGTATGTGATAATGGTCCTAAAGTTTGTGTGTATTGTTATTCATTATCAGTCAGCAGTATTTTCTTCAGCTGTGATTTGTGGATTATGCTTTTTGCAGTGCTTATTCCGGTCATTATCCATCAACTACCTTCATGGAAGGGTTGTTTGACTTATTGTATATAGTGACTTGGTCCATGTTGGTTAATTTTAGATACCACACATTCCCATAATTTTCAAAAAAGTAGGTATGTAGTAGAATATAGTGCATTATAGTATTTAACAGTAAAATAGACATTGGGTGGAAGTCTAATATTTGAACTAAAAATACCAAATTTGAATTTTATTTAATGCAACAAATGCCTGCATAACAGTAAGTAAAAAGCAGTTAAGGTATTATATTTAATGTCTGGATTGTAGTTGCTGACCTTTTAAAGAAAAACAATACACTTGCTTTTATACCGTCAAATCAAAGGCTTTAAAGGGGTAGATTTATTAGGAAGTGGTACCATTATTTTAGTATATACAATGACTGCTGATTGCTGGTTGGAAGGCATGGACAACACGTTTCAAAAACATTTAGGGATGCTGGCACTGAACCAGGTTGGGGGATCACCATTCAAACAATAAAGCACTTACTTTTCCATTTAAACTGTATTACACCGTCATAGACATTCCTTGAGAAAAATATGTTGACAGATGAATTGTCATATGCCTTTACAAACAAGGGTGTTTATGCCTTCATTTACTCCGGGCTCGATACTCAGCGAGCCACGAGAATTTTACAACTTGCTAACTTTTTTGATTCTGAGAGCGGTTGCCGGTGTAGAAAGTCTTCTCCAGTGTGAGGGCGTCTTTCAACCGGGTTTCCTCTCCTCCCCCTCTTCTCAACCATCCACAACATCACACAGACACACATATATACAGACACACGTACAACAGCAAGACAAAACTGCGTCCAAAGTCAAGATGGCCGCGGCACCACTTTGTCATAATAAATTTGTATATGTGATAAATGTTGAGTTTTCATTATTCCAAAAGGTATTTTCACTTGTAATAATATGTGTCGACTAAGCTGAAGAGGATTTCAGTTTGATGCAATATAAACAATTGAAAAGGAATATCAGTTAATACGGGTAATATATACCATATTGTAGATGTAATGGAAGAGTATACGTAAAATCAGTAAGGACAATGCATTATTATATTCCTTTAGTGTATTCACATACTGATACTGTTTGTTTATGAATTCAAAATTTCGCGTCAGTAGTAATAAGTGGAAATCAAGTTTAAATCGATAGATTGTATGCCTTAAAACGAATATTTGCAAGGCAGGAAGTTAAATAGCATCTCTCCTGCCTAGAGCCTCAGCCCTCGACTCGACTAATTTTGCATGGCCTTTCCTCCCTCCAGCTTTCTGTTTCCGTCCCTTCTCCAACCTCTTCTACTATCTACTTCTTAAGGTGTAAGAGCTGTGCTGAAAGGATGAAAGGCTGACCTTGTGCCAGTCCTGAATAGCCCGCGGGAACCATGGGTACAGTATTCCCTTGTTTTAGTTGTCTAGCCCTTACCCCCTAAAAGGGCAATGAGGGGGTGGACTGTTTATTTCCCCTGCATAATCAAGGCTTCCCATGGCCAGTAATGAAGTAATATCCATATTAGAGGCAATGAGGCTTGCCCCTTCATCAAATAGCCCCTACCAATTCAGACTACCGGCTCCTCGACCCCAGGCTCTCCTTTGACCACGGCTCGAACACTGAAACTACTACCCACTCCTCAATGCCTACTAGTGCATTACCCACCCAAGCGAGAATCAATCTCCAGAAGACATTCCTACCTCCCAACTTCAAATTCAACTCACCCCTGCAACCTTCATCAAACACCAACCTCCTTTACACCTTATTCTCTCCTCTCCATATTACTCCTCTCAATACTCCCTCTTCCACACGTCCCCGCCACCACCACCAACCCTACAGATATCTTAAATACTCTGTTTAGCCCAGCTAAATGGGACCGATTTTTCGTGATCCCTGCTACAGCTCCTTACTCAGGCAACACTCTTCTCTTTCAACAATGCCTCCAAAAACAAGTAGGTAGAGTCCCTTTCTATACCAGACGCGATCGCTCCCGTCTGGTAACAGTCAGATCAGAAACTGAATCTATAGCACTGTCAAATTTAACTGATCATTCTGGCAACCCCATTCCTGCAGAACCTCATCCAACCCTTAATACCTGTACCGGAACTGTCTCTCTCTCCCCAGCAAACTGCCCAGTCGATACCAAAGATTGGTCAGACTGTGGAGAAGACTTATTAGGATGCCTCAAAGACCAAGATGTGAAATCAGTACATTGCTACACCATTCCTCCTAAAGGTCAACGAAAGAATCCAACCAATATTGCCAAAATTACCTTCTGTACACATGACCTTCCCTTACGTATCTACATTGGTGGACAATCCCTCCCTGTTCGACCATACCAACCCCCTCCACGTCAATGTCAAAACTGTTGGCGCTTTGGACATCCTGCCAAACATTGCCGTTCCACAGACCGATGCCCCATATGTGCCCAACCTGGTCATAATCGATCAAACTGCTCAGCACAAACACGAACATGTGCTAACTGCGGCGGCCCCCATAATGTATTTTATAGAGGCTGTCCCACTTACAAATTTGAATCTGAGGTAGCAACTCTCAGATACAAAAATGGTCTCACTTTACGTGAAGCCAGACAGGAAGCACGTCGACAAGGTTTCTCTCATACTCCATATTCTAGCAACATCGTTCGCTCAGCCCTTCCCCTCCACCCAAAAATGTCCCCATTTCCACTTCTACATTCTACATCCCTCAGACCAATTCCTTTGCCACTCTAAACCCAGACACCCCAATCTCAACCACAGCTCCTATCTCAACTACAGCCCCAACACCAACCCCTCTCCCTCCCCGCACTATCCGCAGTAGACAGACTAAACGTTCTAACCCTTCTTCCCCTACAGCACAATCACCTCCACCTACCTATACCTTTGTTCCTGAGACACCAGTCTCCTCTTCCCCCCCTCATAAGAAAACCTTTATTCCACAAAACTCTCCAACCAATTCCATTGCAGAAACAATTACCTTCTCACAAAACTCTCCAACAAACTCCACTGCAGAAACAATGGATGACATTCAAAGCTATATGCTTGAGACACAAAATCCCATAACTCATGCTCCTTCCACACTTGAAGTGGTTGCCGATATTCATAACCCTCCTACTAATATTCCCCCTACACCCCTTCCTCCTACTCCCTCCCAACACAACCTAACCCCCTCAATCCCAACCACCACTGATATCCATCCTCCCAATACCCATCCTCCTGATATGCATCCCCCTCTTACTCACAGCACCCCTACACCCTTTCCTCCTAATCCCTCCCAAGACAACACATCCCCTTCAACTCCAACTATCCATCCTTCTGATATTCATCCTCCTAACACTAACTCCCCACACATCTACTCCCTCCCAACACAACCCACCCCCTTCAACCCCAACTATAGGCACATTCTCCCTCCCTCCATCCCCTCTATCCTTTGCACTCCCTCCAGGATACACACGAGAATCACTCATGGCACAACAATGCCCTTCTCCAGACTCCCTACCTCCTAATATCCCACCTTACACCCCCTAGCTCCTTCCCCTTCAAATTCCCCAACACGTAAATGTGTTATCATTCATAAATCAACTAGGATATAGCTCTCCTACATTGGAATATTCGCGGTTTCCGCTCTCATAGATCAGACCTACGTCATATCCTTGCTTCTTATAATCCATCTATTATCTGCCTCCAAGAGACTTTCCTCACACACCCTCCTATTCCAATTCCTAATTACCATTTTATCTCTTCCCCACACTCCCTTTATGTCTCGTCTATACTTATCCATCATAAAACACCTTATGTCATACCTCCCATACAAACTTCTGTCCCGTGCACAGCTATTCGCATCTTTCTTCGCCGCTGGATCACAGTGATTTCAGTCTACTTCTCCCCATCCCATCCCATTGCTTCTGCCTCGACAACCTGTTCTCCTTCCTCAGACACATAAATATCCTTCACTTGATCTAACTCCCTTACCTAAACCACCATAATCTTTTCCCTCATCCTCAACCTCTCAACACTATTCTAGATAGTTGACACATAACAACTGTCACCTGACATCCCTCTTTACTATACTTTCCTATAGTGCTATATGACCTTAGATGTCTAGCACATTTATCTTAACCATTAACCATTAACCATTTATAGAGGTCCCACTTTCAAGTTTGAGTCTGAGGTAGCAACTCAGACACAAAAATGGCCCCACTCTACATGAAGCCAAACAGGAAGCACACCGACAAGGTTTCTCTCATACTCCCTACTCTAGTAATGTCACTCGCTCAGCCCCTCCCCTCCACATAGCCCATCACCATCCCCTTTCCCTCCCCGCACTACCTGCAGCAGACAGACTTAACGTTCCACCCCTTCTTCCCCTACCGCACACACCTCCACCTACCTTTTTACCTTTATCCCTCAGACACCAGTCTCCTCTTCCCCCCGCAGAAAACCTTTTTCTCACAAAACTCTCATGCAGAAACTGTGGAAGATATTGCAAGCTATATGCTTGAGGCAAAATTCCACAACTCATGCTCCCTCCACACTCGAAGTGACTGCGATATATATATATTTCCCTCCTGTTCATATTCCCCCTACACCCCTTCCTCTTACTCCCTCTCAACACAACACACCCCCTTCAACTCCAACTATCCATCCTTCTGATACCCATCCTCCTACTACTAATATTCTCCCCACACCACTTTCTCCTATTCCCTCCCAACACAACCCATCCCCCTCAGCTCCAACAATACGTACATTAACCCTCCCTCCATCCCCTCTATCCTTTCCACTCCCTCCTGGATACACACGTGAATCACTCATGTCACAAATGCCCTTTCCCAGACCTTCCCACCACCTGATACCCTTCCTGATACTATAACAACCCCCCTCCCTCTAATTCCTTATCATACCCCTTAGCTTCCCCCACCCACCCCAGATTCCCCAACACGAACCGTATGCGATATATCATAAGCTATAGCTATCCTACATTGGAATATTCGCGGTTTCTGTTCTCACAGACCAGACCTTCGTTTATATCCTTGCTTCTTATAATCCATCCATTATCTGCCTCCAAGAGACTTTCCTTACACCAATTCCCAATTACCATTTTATCTCTTCCTCACACTCCCTTTATGTCTCGTCTATACTTATCCATCATAGTCATACCTCCCTTACAAACCACTGTCCCGTGGACAGTTATTCGCATCTTTCTTCGCCGCTGGATCACAGTGATTTCAGTCTACTTCCCCCCTTCCCATCTCATCTCATTGCCTGATTTCATCTGCCGCCAGACTCTGGGTGATGCTATCACCACCTCCCGAGGCCGATCTCTAGAAAAATAACCTAATTATTCTTAATTCAGATCGCAATCCTTTTCCGGCCTTGACCTCTCTCTGTACTCCCCTTCTTTTCATTTAGATTTCCATTGGTCAGTTCTAGACCACTTCCCCTGTAGTGACCACTTCTCAGTAATCCTTTCTCCTACTTCATATGTACCACTTCCTAATCCCCTATGCTGGTGCTTTGATACAGCTGACTGGCATACTTTCACTTCACTCTACTATACCTATCCCTCCACCTTTCCACCTATTTCAGATATGTTACAATGTTTTACAACCGCGATCCTAATAGCTGCCTATACAGCCATTCCTCGAACTTCAAGACCTTTTACCTCCAAATGTGTATGGTGGAATTCTGATTGCACCAAAGCGCTTCGCTGAAAACGATCAGCCTGGAAACAGCTACAAACGAGACCCCTTACCAGCTATCAGCCTCATCTTTACAAGAGAATCTGCCCATCTTCGCTGTATATCTGCCAGCTATTCCTCCAAATAGCTGGCAAAATTATGTTTCCTCAATTACATCTACATTATTTCAGCTGTTTGGCGT